AACATGAAATGTGAGATTAAAACAAACATACCGAGAAAATATCCGGAAAAATATTTATTTTGCTGAAAAATATGATTTTTTCAAAATGGAAATTTTTCCATGACCACATTACATTGTGTGTTTCGTAATGGCGGTGCTCCGAGCGGAAGCCTATCACTCAACGTCTTTTTCGCTCTTAATGCAAGAACATAAAGCTTTTTCTTACCGGCTCAAGTCGGTTTCTCATTAATAAATGTGATCTCTCTTTTTATTACCACGATACGATAACTATAGTGTCACTAATCTCGACACTCACTCCAGAAAAAAAAATTGTTTTCGAAATTATTCTGATTTCAATTCAATTACATTCTTATTAATGTAGTCTTTAATTAACATGTGTAACTAGACATTTTCATGGTATCCAATACATTACTGCCTTTATACAAAAACGCAGTTTTACGGAATACTGCGACTAGCAAAGCAAGTGAAATTTTATCATTAATAAAGCTTCCATCTTCAAATTTTTTGTACGTAACACGTACTAAAGAATGCGTTTTGCTCTGCTCATCACTGTAGGTTCAAAATCACAGTATTTCTTCGACATTTGTGAACCGATTCAAATCTAAAGAAAATATTCCACCTACAAGGGTAGTAAATTAGGGGAGGAATCCGTTTTATTGCATTTCACCCACTGTCCGTTAAATAATTTCAATAAAACTTAGCAAACTGATGTAATTCCACACTGCTAAGGTCGATTTCTTTATTAAAAAAATATTATTATTTGTAACTTCTTCTGCTATACTTTGTTTGAAACAAATAAACGAATTATTATTATTAAACCAGGAATGGAACCGGAGAACGAGTCACGTAGCTTAGATTTCTTAATCGCTGAACTATAGAGATCGAACATGAATGTAACGTCCCAGTTTTACGAACCTTTTCAGAATATAAAGTGTGTTGCACATATTCATGCCGGTATAATCTGTGCGCCGCACCCGGGCAGCAGGAATCGAAATGAATGTATTTCAGAAATCGTACATGAATTTGTCGAACGAATTTGTAGACGGTTTTTCACATCGGCTTTGTTGTCGGGAAATTATTCCAAACCCCATATGTATGCTTAGTATAAAACTGGCAGCTTAATGTGAACGCCCCTTAAAAAGAATTTTGTGGTAAGTAGGTTATTAGGTCGAGTGGACGTTTAGGACGGCCTTCCTTTTTATAAATGTCTAAAATTAGTTCTTTTTCTTTCTTCTCATAACATTTTAGTCTGTCTGGTGTGTCACTGTAATGTTCTTTTGATCTCTTTTAAAATATTTCTTAAATTATGACCATAGATAATAAAAAAGTAAGAGCATCACAGGATCGTGACTCTTAAGAATCTGTAGCATCTGATGACTCGGATATAAGACCTGACGATATGTGTTAAAAAAAAACCAAATATGTTTAAGGGCTTAGAATAATAACGCATAGAAACCTAGTCCGCTCACGCTAAGTGAGGCAAATTGAAGCGCGCCAAAAGGGCCTACACGAGCGGGCGGGCCTTCAGTGCTCAAGGTCAACTTTCACCGCGAACAGATCAAGAATTTTAGCTAAAAATGACGAAATGTGCGTTAAATGAGTGTAAAAATACGTTATACAAACATAAAATAGATACTAACATCACATTCCACAAGGAAGTAACGCGTTTCAACTTGTATTTTTATATAAATATTCACTAAAGCCGAAAATTAACCTACTATTAAAAGTAGCCTACATGAATTTGATTTTTGCCTCACTTGTGACAGTTCGTTTGATATGAAACTATCATTCTATGCGTTATTATTCTAAGTTTAAGGGTATATTTCAATTTAACACATAGTAAAATAAGGTTGTCAGACAGAAATCGCTTAATCTTGTGCCATCGTTTACTGTTTATTTAATTGTATTGTATTTGTTTTTATTTTGGTGTAGGTACAATAAATAATTTTTATATTGTAAACGATAAAGTCACAAGAATTAGGGTGTAGCGATAGAATAAAAACTCTTTTGGTCGCATAGATTTTTTGTTCTACATAAAGAACGAAAAACAAACCACAATCGGATCGCCCGGTGGCGTTCGTTGAGATGTAAAATATTACAATATTGCGTGTTGTATTTTAATGTATTACGTACAGTCTGCACCCCAATGTTGACTGACCCCTTATATGACTTTTTGGTTCTGGGCACAAAAGTACGGAGAAAAGTGTTAAGTGACGAAATTAAGTAGTGGCTTATTTTAAAGTTGATAATTTTCAAGCAAATCTCCAACTCTTTAACATTTTTTCCGATGAATGCGTAAGATGACTCACAGAACTAAAAGGTCTGTTAGAGGGATAGGTAACTTAGGAGACAGCGTTTACATTAAAAGTATTTTTTTGACGAATATTTATTAATACTAAATCTTACTACTGCCTCCGTGGCCGAGCAGTTACCATGCCGAATTGCCACGCAGAGGTCCCAGGTTCGATTATCGGGCCGGGAAAAATATTTGTATAAATGTTTATTTCCCTCTTCAGTGTGGGTGTAGTTCGTGGTTGTCTATGTGTGTGTCCATGGCACCCGCGACACAGGGTTACCCTAGTGCCGGACTATGTTGAGTGTGTGCGTTATTATGATACTAGACCCGCAACGTGAACGTCAGAGCTATTGGACGTAGTCACTGTAATGTAATCTGTGCTTTTGTTAGCAATTGCCTTAAGAAGAATTACTTCTATCTCCCACTGAGGTAGGCAGAAAGTATAAACTTCTACCCTTTTCACTGGTATTTTCAGGTTTTTTATTTTTCTTACTTTTGACTTGACCTTTTAAGGACATCCTCAATCATCTTGTGATATGTTCGCCGAGGTCAACCTTTCCGACGGTTCTATCCGCATTCGCTCTTTCCACCATCCATCATATCACATCATATCGCTTCCATATCATTACTATATTATAAGAAATCGTTATTTGTATATGATTTCAAAATTAGGTATTTATTCTAAATTAAAATTCTACAGTAACTAACGACTTCAATCCATAGAAAAGTGTGTATAGAGTTTTGTTTTAGTGTTGAATTTTATCAAAGAATATCAGTACCGCGATACCATGGACAGACGTGACAGTCTATACCTATTGGGAATGAGCTAGACTGGCAGATAATATTGAATGTTGATATATTTTTTTACCAATGATATATTTTATACATAGTTGGGGAACTAACGTAAAGCCCCTGGCAAAGTCGCTATGGATTGCACAATACATTTTATTTTGCTTTGACCCAGGGGCCTTCTGCTTACTATTTATAATTATAATATTACTAAAAAGAAAAACAAATTACTTCAGTAATAAAGCCTAGTCATTTTTTATATTTTTCAATTTATACAAACGGGTACCTTAGTACTTAACTGCCTCCGTGGCCGAACGGTTACCATGCCGGACTGCCACGATGTCCGCAAATGTTTGTATGGCCTACATTTATTTCTCTCGTGAGTTTGGGTGTAATTTGTGGATGTCTATGTATGTGTCCATGGCACCTGCGACACAGAATTTCTCTAATGCAGGGCTATGTTGAGTGTACGCGTTATTATTAAAAAAATAAAAAATAATCATATTATACATACTCTGTCATTGTGTAGCCAAAACACTCTATTGCTCGTTAATATATGTTTTGTCTTGTTTCAACACGCGTCATTACATGCTTGCAAAACGAGATTGATAGTGTGAAATTTTGTAGAATATTTCAAGATTATCAAATATTATAATGCACAAGTTAATCAAAAACCACAACATTACTTACCGAATCAATGTGAATAATTTAAAACTTTAAATTTATGTTTACACAATCAGTCAAATAGCGAAATGTGAGCAACACACCGATGTAAATCAATTTTCAAAGAGGACCGCATCTGCGTCCGCCATCTATAATGTTTGAGAACCAACTAAATGATGTGCAGTGTCTTCACCGCACATCAGTGAAACGCAGCGTGTGTATGGAACGCCGCATCTAGTACGCTAGTACACGGACATTGTTGGCAATAACCAAGTAATTCTTAATGCTCATTAATTAGAATTAAATATCATATCGTTATTTGATGATTCATGAAAGGCAATGAATTGGCCTTAGTTCAAAATAATTAATAGATGCCATTACACTTAAGAACATAATTTATGGATTTGGATGTCAATATATATTTTTTAATTCAAAAGTAATTAGCTATCTGTTTCCGAAGTTTGTCCACAGTGCGTTTTGGCATAACTACGTCCGGTTTTAAACGATATTCATAAACACTAGTATGATAGCTAATACGATAGCTAGTTGAATAATGAAGTCAATTAACTATGCCGTATCGTTCTCCGTTATTAATATCTTCCGGTGGCAAGAGATGGAATCCATAGACTAATTAAGTTACGCTACATCTTCTACACTTTTATTTAGTGCCGTGCAAATAACCACGTCATCATCGCCATCATCATCATCATTACCATCATTTGCTAGGTATCCTTTGGATATTAATGCATCTTCGAAGTTTTTTTAGACATCTCCGACGTTCAGGTTTAATTTCAATGTTATCCTTATCCACTAAATTAGTTGATACATAATACAATTAGCAAAGTTACCGCTTATTATACAAAATTAATTAAGCGGTGCAGGCATCTCCGTAGGAATTGAACCCTGAACTGTAGCAGTAGAGCTCCTTGTAAAAGAGTACGCCCAGGGAAGCACGGCCACCTTACCTATTTCTCCCGCCAAGCATTAATGTGAGCATTAATTACGGTTATAAATGGTATGGGTGCTGGTGATATTATGGTAAAATTATAGGCACATGGAACTTGTCAACTTATGTCTCACGGTGACGGGCACAGTGGCAGTGTTCCTCAAGTATTTGTGTTTCAAAGCTCTGAGTGGGACTGCAACTGTTATGGACAGGCGTGTCGCTTACCATCAGGCGCACGGCTTGTTCATCCCGTGACTTGGTATCATAAAAAAAATGAAAAACTTTATCAAACAATGTACAACTCACCTCCAAGTACTCGGCATGTAAGCAGCACATCATCGCCCTCTTCATGAGGCCCGAGGGTAGTGGTGTTGATCACGCGTCCCCACCGATCCACCACTACTGGTTTTTCTGGTGGCACTGCAATAGAGAGTTGATTTTAGAGCTGAAAATGTCTTACTATCCTACTTCAAAATATTGTCTTCCAATATTAGTAACATCTAGGCATTAATGCGATCTGTAGGAAGTCAATGCCTCCGTAATATACTTTAACAGCAGTGCAGATAATAAAATAACATTTGATTAAAGAAATATCGTTTTGAAAAACACAGAAACATACAATTGTCATTATTGCATTGCCGATCTTTGTAATGGTAGTAAGAATTTATATTAATATTTTCCTCTCGGTAATAAGGATAAAGAAATTCCTAACAGAAACAGAAAGCTACTGTAAACAACATATCAAAAGCTTAACTCTAAAACACCAGTCCAAAATCTGTCCGAAAGCCAGATCGATCACAGCAACGGACCATAAAGAGAATCAATCGAGCGCCCGCAATGAAACTAAGCCAAACAAATTTTAAGCCGAGCCAAAAGCAATTAATAAGACCAATACATCGCAGGTGATCGGTTACACCATTTCATTAGAGAGCTGAGCTTTAGGCTCTGTACATACTGTTGCTAGCTAACGTGGATCAGAGAAATACGATATGATACTTGAATTTTTTCGATTAAAATATACTGTACTCATCATCATACAGATTTAAACGATTACTTTCTACTAATGGGACATTCTGTTGAAAACATTTCGACGGCAGCATAGAGTAATCGGTAATATGCAAAGTCACGATTTTACAGTAGAGCATTTGGAAAGCCTGATATTTTCTGATGTAACAGGTTGAATTAGCTAAAATTTTGAGCTGTGATATATATAAAAAAGCTAATCCAGGTCTTGTTGATTATCAAGTACCACCCAAATACATATAATTCTACAAAATACAATATTACTCATCGTCGACAGGCTTTCTCGGTCACAGGTATTGGATAATGGTTAAGACAATATAAATATAGGATTTGTGTCTAGATACTTTATTTAAAAAAAAAAGAAATGTATATCACCCTTATACTTTGACACGAGCAAACCTAGCAGTCCATCGATCCTCTATTCTAATGTCGTAAGGGTCAAAGTTACGATTTTAAACTGCATTGTAATTTGTATCTAATTGGTTGGTTTCACAGTCCTATTTCACTTGATTCCAGTTAAAGCCCAATTGGCTTTAGCTTCTATCTGACTTTGCACAGACGGACGAGTACTAAAAATAGGTAATGCTGAAGAGATGCAAATAGAAATCCTTAGTACAGAAATAATTGAAATCGGCTAACATTTATTTAAGCAGTGGAGAACTATTTGCCTAGTGCAGCAACTGTTTCGACTTTTGAGCTTCGGCATAAGCATGTTTGAAGGATTTTTCACAAAAGGAATACACGATGACGGTTGCACACGACGACTTTTAACAGCGATTCAAATGCGATGCAAACGCGATGCAGTATAGATGCAGTAGCTAATCGTTTATTTATACACGCACGCAATTGTAAGTGGCGATGCAAACGCGATGCGGCACGACTGTATCGATACTAACACGCGATTGCATCGTTATATTTGGGATTCATAGGCGATTGCATCGATGCAATCGCGCGTTTGTATCGATGCAGTCGCGTGTTTGCATCGATGCAATCGCCTTAAAATCGCAAGTGCAGCGATGCAATCGCGCGTTTCACGAACGCACGTTTGTATGGCTGCTAAAAGTCGCCATGTGCAACCACATCTAAGCGAAAGACTAAAGTCCATACCAGGCAAGTAGACCTGTGTTACAGGTTTCCAGGCTCCCAGCCTTTAGAATTCAATTTTTTTAAAGTAACTAATCTTATAATAAACCATGGTGATGACACTTTGTGAACGGCTGTGTGTTTGTATGTGCGTGCTTGTAGGTGTGAGAATGAATGTGTATAGATCGCTCTTAACCGTGATAACTCTTCGCAGTAACAAAAGAAAGCGCTAACGTAAATACTAATACGATTCAAAATGCAGGGGCGGAGATGGGGGTTGTCTTTAAAAACCCGTATTGGATTTTCACAAGTGTCATTGTCCTAGGTTTAGAAATTGACATCGAGATACTCGATATACCTTTATATGCTTGTAACAGGTTGTATGTGTGCTTGAAAATAAAAAAGAAAGGTTGGACTGCAGTTGGACTGAAGTAATAAACGAATTTGTCTAAAAGAAATATTTATATGTTTAGAATTAGCAGGTAAAGTTAAAAACTAATTAAACAGAATGTTGTTATACAATTACCAAAAGTGTTTGATTATAGAATCGAATTTGCATTGAAATTTGAAGCAAACTTCGCAAACGTTAAGCTTAATAGAAAGACAACAAAGAGATAACACAGTATAAGTAAAATAATTGGTATACTAACATATATTACATTAGCCAATGCAAATATAACTCCTCGAAAATATTTCGCATTATAACTAATATTTTAGTTCTAATTAAAAAAGGTTTAGTAGAATGATGATGAACTTTAGTTCTTAAAACTTCGTAGGTATAATATTCTCTTAAGAAGAATTATTAACCTCTAGTAAAGGTTGAGTGAAGAAAAACATTCATAGTTTTGTTGCAAGTGGCGCTGCAGCTAAAAAAATCATTAAAATTAAGAATAAAGATCTGTAACAAACGCATAAAGAAATGCGTAAGGTCTGTAGATTCGACTTATAGCATAATTGGTAGAGCGATTGTCCTAGATTGGCGTACAGACACAAGTTCGAGTCCTGTCAGATCGAAGGAAATTTTCTTTGTGTTCGGTCTTTGCACTAATAATTATAACAAACTAGTGAAGTAATTTCAAAATAAATATTAAGAATTACTTTAAACTAAAAACAGAAAATCAGTAAAAATAACTCTTGAAAAAAGAAAGAAAAATTCCTATAAAATGAGAGAGAGCGAGAGAGAGTGAATAAAACAAGTATAATATTCTATGACGTCAACTTATACTATGCAGATAATCAGGTCTCGCTTTCTCCACGATAAGGATCTTTGATAGCCACTCAAAGTGATTTAAAGTTTAAAACACAATCCTGTCGGCATGATTCCCGTCAATAAGATGATAACACGTTTGAAAGGAAGCGATCGGACAAACAGCCGTGCTAAACTCGGCGTGAAATCGAACGATACGATCGGATGCGCGTCGAGAATTCGAATTTTAAATTGAATTTTGTGCGGCATCGTTGCGATTAAAACTAGTGGGTTTCATTACTTGTTATGGTTTTGATACTTTGCAACACTTTTGTTGAAAGAGTTATTAAAACTCTACTCAGAAGCTACGACTTGGGCTTGGTGTAACTCAAGAAGCTTTAACTAAATATATTTTGCATACTGTCAAAACTTGAGAGCGAACATTGAAGAAAGAAGGAGTGTATTTCGTATAAAACCGTTTGATGTCTATCTTTAAATTTAAAGTTCATAGAATGATCTTGAAGACTGATAATGATATAGTGTACAGGGAGACATTAGTTCCATAATTATATTTTAAATTTCAGTCTAAAAATGCTGAAACGAAAATAGATACCTATAAATTGAAAAGAAAGCGTGTAAACATATTGACCAATTTAAAAATATTGAAACAGCAAAAGTAGGTTCAACACTAACATTCAACGAAGAGACAACGACAACTATGAGATAAAGTTTAACCAATGAGAAGCTTTGTGTTTTAGTCATAATAATAATTGTCCGTTAGCAACTCATTTATACGTCCCACTTTTTTGGCCTGAGTATCTCTCTCAGGCGAGGGTTTAGGCTACAGTCCGCCACGCTGGCCCAATGTGGGTTGGGGACTTCACACGTTTTAGGAGAGTGGTGAACCTTCTTCGACGTACAGGTTTCATCTAGGTGTTTTCCTTCACCGAAAAATTCATGGAAGTTTCAAATTAAATTTCGTACATAAATTCTGAGAAACTTAGAAGTGCGAGGCTGGATTCGAATCCACTCCTTCTGTTTGGCAGGCGGTATGTCAAACCATTACGCCACCCTGGTTTTTTGTCATCATAATACGTTATAAATTAACTATTGATGAAAATTGAAAAAAAAACGAAAGTTAAAAAACGAAACACAACTAAACATGTGAACAACAGAAAAAAAGACGAACGTAGACTAGAATACAAAGAGTAAAATTATAGGTGGTAGAAGTGAGAGTGGAATGAAACGTTTCCATATAATAGATTCGCACGTAGTGACTGACGTCAGCGAGTGATCGAGCACTGTTGGCAATATTACTTTTCCGCCAACATGACGGGTTAGTTTGCCAAGGGAACGAAGTAGGTGAGAATTTTTGTAGGCATGAGGTAAATGTATTGTGTAAGTGGTTTTTGGCAGTGAAAATGTATTGGGAAAATAATGAGGTCGCGTATGGTTAGAACCGTCGTAATAAGAATTGGTATTGGTCCGACTGAAGTTCTGAAGTTCAAAATTGATGTCAGTTCCAAAGAGATGAAAAGGAAGAATATTTTCAATCCGGTAAGTTAAAAGTTAAAAGTATTCTTTGATGGAAGTTAACATTTTGGAATAATAACTCTTTCAAGAACAGTGAATAAAGAAATTAATTGTGATAGATCTGTAAACCCAAAATACAACTTTAGAACAATTCATAATTGAGGTTATATTAAATGATGCTAAAGTACATAATTCCTTAAAGTAATATTGTACAAAAGAAATTTAGGCACAGGTCTTCTATCAGCTGAGAGTTAAGGCCATAGTCCGCCACGCTGACCCAATGCGGGTTAAGGACTTCACACGTTTTCCGAGGGTTGTAAAACATCGTCATGCAAGTTTCATCACAATGTTTTCCTTCGTCGTAAAGCTTAATTTAAATTTCAAATTAAATTTCGTACGTCAATTCCGAAAAACTAAGGATTTCCAGCCCAGATTCAAACCTACGGTCTCCATTTGAGATGCGGCAGGTCAATCCATTAGGTTACCACGGCTCTGTATGTCAATTAGAATATTGAAGCGATATCAAACAATCAATCGGAATGAAGGATCAACACTTTCATGGAATGATAATCAGCAAAATCAAGTTTTCAACTGT